ACACACTGATACTTACAAATAAGGAATGTGGTTGACCTGGCAACAGGATGTTCATTTTCTAATTTATCCACCATTTCTTTTAATAACATTAGTCTCGGCTAAGTAGAGAACAGTTCCAGCGTTACACAATTTTGCATGTGTCTAGTTATACCAAGTACAAACAGCAATCCCCAAACCACTCCACGTTGTGCGACAGACTTCTCCATCAAGAATATGTTTCTACCAAACAGGAAAATAAACCATCATAATCAAACCTTCTACCTAACTTTTATAATTCAATATTATCTTAGGATGGTTTTTTCCCCACTTTGCTTGCTAGAATCGGAAGGATTGAAAATTATGCCCTGCAAAGAAGCTTCTGGGCAGGTAGTGGTCTTGGGAAAGGAAGGAAAAAAAAAAAAAGGCTATTAGGCTAGGGAAGGCAACAGACCTGTCCAGGATGGACCGATGCCTGAGAAATCTCTGATCAACACAAAGGCCCAAAGAGACCAATGTGACAGTAAAGTGATAGCAATTTATGTAAGGGAAAACCTTATCCCATCTCTCCCAGCCTTGAAAAATAAGAGAAGCACTGGTATCTGAAAATCTTGATTTGGGATGTCTAACCTGAGGCAAATTTACAACGCCTTGATTTTTCAGAAAGAATGATCTGCATCATCTGAAATGTAAGCCTGTATTTAACAAAGTTCCTGAAAAACACTGCTTAGCAGGCAGGTGAGCCTGTGTTCCCACTCTGCTATAATGATTATTTTGCTCATACTCTGTATCTATTCCTCTAACCTTTTTGTACAGCTCTAATGACCCAATTTGAATTTGCCATATGATTCAGTGGTCTCTGTAAGAAAGATGTCATCAAGTTGCAGTCAGTTGTACCACAAGCAGTCCGTGCCACGTCTTGAGCTTAATTCCTCAAATAAGCGGCACTATAGATAAGCTCTGATCATTATCACAAGTGCCACCCTGCTCACAAGACATTCAAGCCTTTCCAGCATCTCTCTGCAAGATTTTGTAGACAAAACCACAATACACAGCACAAGTCTCCTCTTCTTAATAAAGATGACTGCAATCCCCAAGGCTGTTTGTGCAAGCTACTGTTGTGGGTGTGTAATGGTTGCCTAGATGGTAGCGCAGCACCAGCATCTAACTTTGTACAAAACAAGTAAGAGGATTCAGTACTTTCAGGCACAAAGTACTTAACAATCAGAATAACCATTTTATTCTGCTTGATTACTCCCCCCAACTCTTTCCAGCTAAATCAGGCTGTCAAGCATGTTTTCAATGTACGTAGCAAAGAAGTGTAAAATCCAACAACATATATTCCTTTAAACTGAAATTTTGCATCACCAGGCTCTTGCAAAAGTAGTATATTAAAAGACAGCTAATTTGAAGGAAGTGTTTGCCAGTAAAAGCTGGGACACAGCCAGAAAAGCTACAGCATACAAGGATTTTAATGGCTATGAAATGTTTGTTACTCTGTTGTGAAATTAGTTAACAGACTAATTTTTCCTCTCTAGGGGGCTACACTCAAACACTTGCAGGTGTGAGACCCGAGTGTATGAGTATGCTTGTCCACACCTGAAGCCATTTGCCCACCACACAGTTTGAGCAGCACCGCACTGCTTAGGAGCACCCAGGAATAGTGTGCCTCTAAGTCAGGATTTTAAGTATTATCAGCAGCATACTGTGATGAACGCGCAGCACATCAGTTCACACTCCTGCCTGCCTCTAGACTGCAGCGTCTGTTCTTCTCACAGATAATGATTGAATTTGATGGCTATATTCTCCAGAGCCTCCTCCCTCCAGCACTGCTTCACACCTGAACAAACTCAAGTGCAAAATGCTTCCACTCTGATTTGGTAGCAGTTAGACTACTGTCTTTACAGGGTATAAACAACATGCAAGATGGCAAAAGCTCAAGCTCTGTACGTAGCGACTCAGTAGATCCATAGCAACTACATAAAAAACATCTTCAGTTTTTGCATTAGCAATGTTACTTTTACCACAGTATCGACACCAGAGTACCCTTGATAGGTAGAAATATCCAAATAAAGCAAGATGCTGGCAATAAGTCTGTATATTATAAAAATAAAAATTTTGAAAAAGCTACAAACCACAGTTGGTAAGTCCTTACCAATATTTATCAACAGAAACCACCTATAAAAATTCATCCAAGATGTACACAGAAATTGTTACTTGATAAGGAAAATCTGAACTGGCAATTACAGGCTCAGTCCTAAACTAGCTTGACACGGAACTACAGTCAAATTGTTTTCCCCTAGCATGAAAATACATCTTTTAGGTTCTTGTCAGTCTGGAAGCAAACCAATACAGAAAAAAACCTGCAGATACCTGACCCTCCTTTTCTGAGCAGAAGAAAGTTACCTTCTTTGCACATCATTGACCTAGGACATAGCTATATACAATCTGGAAACATTGTTGGGCATTATTAATGTCACACATTGCTAAAATGACAAAAAGATGTTTGACCAACAAGCATATCCAGTCCTTTCCCAACATACTGCTGATGTTCAGACTGTCTCCTCAGCACCTTTATGATTATTTTAGCAGCAGCCCATGTTAGCACACAGGTACAAAAATAACTTTTTATTCAGCTGATTCAGATAAGGAGGCAGGGTTTGTAGGAAAGCCTGGAGGGCTTCCTAGCAGCCAAAACAGTTGCCAGGCTGTATTACTTGCAGTGGGAGTGTCTCTGTGTGTGTGTGTAAATCAGGGACAGCACTTCTGGTATCCCCAACATTGCCAGGTGCATTCTGTCCTATGAACACTCCATAGGTGCACTCATATCCTGTGCAAATCATGGAATCTTCATGGTTGGAAAAGACCTTTGAGATCACCAAGTCCAACCATACACACACAAAAGACCCCCACAATCTCGGCCACTAGAGCATGCCCTAAAGTGCCACATCTACACATTTCTTAAATACCTCCAGGGATGGTGACTCAACCACCTCCCTGGGCAGGCTGTCTCTCTGCACAGCTCCACTTATCCTATACACTCAATAAAGCAGGTACTTACAGTCTTCCAGGTTCTCTTAAAAATCCTCTGACATTCCTGTTGTAAGCTAGATGGGATTTGCAGGTTGTCTGTACTAGATGAAAACTTCTGCTCCTTCTCAGCAGTGGACACCAGACGTGAAACCCAGAAATACACAATGCTCACAAGGCCAGCCAGATACAACACAGGTGCACTGTGATTGTGTCTGAAATACTTCTGACCAATCAAACAAAACATGTGGGGAAGCCACCTGTGTGGCTGTGAGGCAGCCATCTCACTGCCACCTGTGAGGCAGCCACCCCACTGCCACCTGTGAGGAAGTTTTTTCCTGTCTCAGCGCTCTAAAAAATGGTGGGATTGCTGCTGCCAGGGCAGTATGTGCTGAAACTTCCCTTTCCAGCAACAGCCCCTTCCTCATCGCTCTCCTCATGCCTTCACAGTCATCACCAGACACTCCTTGTTAGACCAAACAAGCAAAGAAAGGAGCATGCCACCTCCTCAAATGCATTTCTTGATGAGGCAATTCCCTTTCTCCTCCAGGGAAAATAAAGCAGTCAATGGGCAAAAGCACCCCGTGGGCTCTCAGCTGAACCACACCGGCCTACTCATCCTGTTAGGGAAGGAGGTGATACAGCTTTTCCCCTCAACACCTGCTTTTATCCAGTTGTGGGGAAGAAAACTGGTCATCAGAAACACGGATCCCTGCTGAGTGAGGGAAATTAATTCACACATGCTTCTACCTGATTCACCTTGTTCCTTGTGTCCTCAGAAAAATCAAAGGACAATGATTTCTATAGGCTCCAGTGGGGTATCACGATATTCTCAAACCACTGCTGCAGCTTCTGACAACAGAAACTTCTCCCTATTTCCCATGACTGCCCCAGGCAATTCTCTGCTGCACCCTGGAATTCCTCCTCCTGGCCAGCAGCAACTCCTGCTGAATGCAGGCCATCAACTACAGAAACATGGTTGCCCAAGTCAGGAAGAAAGCCCTTCCAAAATATTAGTATTTAGCAATGGACTGTTCAGAGTTAGTTAACTATCACAGCAGAAGGTATTTCTGTTCAGTCAACCACTAGCTGATTGCAGCTAACCACATAATCCTTCAGTATTATCTGTCTTTAAACACTAATCTCTTCAAACAAGGTAACCATTGGTATCTGAAAATTTACTCTTTTTGCATGGCACTTCTTGCTTATTTTTCCTGGTTACAGAAAGATTTTTACAGAATTTCCTGGGGGACTTGAGGGGCGGGGGGAGTACTGACCACGCACCTGTCCCCTGAAGCTTCATAAACGGTCTCCATCCCTCCTATAATCTCCACATTCAAGATGCAGGATTAGGTAGTGTTTGGGGTAAAAGTCTCCTTACCACTTAGCCCTAAAGATGGTCTTTTTAATAGCTGTAAAATCTGCAGAGGGAATAGATGAACTAAAAGGTTTAATGGCTGACTTGCATTTTACTGTGTTCCACAGGGACCAGGTTGTTTTACATCCTATACCTACAATTTTGCTGAAGGTGGTTTAGAATTTCCATTTCAATCAATGAATAGCTTTTATCAGTGCTCTTCCCAAAACCACATCCATTATATGGGGACACTACATTATATAAACTTGATTTCAAGATATTAAATCATTGTCTGGGAAAGGCAAGACTTTGTGAAGTTACACAGATTATTCTGTAGCATCAGTAGCATATTACTATGTAATCCTCAGTATCGTCTCCTATTCAAAATTTTTTTTCAAATAAACCACATTTTGTAGAGAGGTTGGGACTGGAGGTTTAGGGCAGCTTTGTGCAACATTTTTGTTAGGGAAATTAACACCTTGGTGCTTTCTTTGTGCAGCTTTGGATTTGAAATCTCTCTAGAGGGGCAGTTTGGAAGGATAGTCATTGTTTAATTAGTACTCTTCTCAATTAGCATCTGGAGTTAAAGATCCACAAGTAGGTATATATCCAAGAAATTCTCAGAAGAATTACCTACCAGTAACTGAATATGCAGAAGTTCAGAAAATCACTCATCCTCCCTCACTTCAGCTTCTTCAGAGACTTTCTTCCTTTAAATGAGCAAAAACAAATGCAAAGTAAGCAGGACTGCATGCTCTTCTACATCCATGCTCAAAGAGTACAAAACAGAGGCAGCTATAAAATCACTTTCTTTTTCAGTTCCTAAACTCAACACTCACATACCTAAGAACATATGCAGGTAAGGTACATTCTGAAAACTACAGTAATATCATTAACCACAAAAGGTCAATACGGTGCTACTTAGGCATGCATACAGCTGGGCATCAAAATTGTTAAGGACCAACAGGTGCTCAGAACCAGACAGAAACAGTACAGAGACTTGGGTAGAAAAAAGAAATCCTGCCTGCCACTCACCAATTTTTAGCTGGTTTGAACCGTTACTTCAAGGACTTTGAAGGACTCTATTAGCTTGATTCTTTAGAGACTTTAGGCAAAACTAAGCCAAACCACTGCACTAAAAATTACAGGTCATATTCTTATTTGCTATTGCTTTACAGTAAACTCCTTTTTCCTAGTAACTGCAGTGTAAAGGTTTGCTTGTGGAGGGCTGTCTCTACCCATAAGACAAGCAAGCTGTTCCATAGGGTACCATACTGTTGGGGGGATCAATATAGATCCAACTCTTACTACGCTACGCTGGCAACTGCTCCTGCACTACTGAGCAAAGAAGGGGCTGGAGTACGCAAGGCAGCAGTTACCTGGAGAAGGAAGGAAGGAAAGGTGGCTCACATTGGTGGTTCTCTCCCTACAGCAGCAATGGCTTTCCTGTCCTGGCCTTCACCCTCAGAGCAGAGAATCACGACTTTGCCTTCACCTCCGAGATGCCTTAAGCCAGCTTTGTGTATGAATATCTGAAAGTAAGACAGCTCAACGTAAGCATACTAAAATCATTAATTTTTATATGCCATTACTGTATATAAGTACACAAATGGACTAACAATTTCTAGGTGAAAATCATCTACGGCAGAGCCAAACTCATTGTTATGCTGAGAGAAGCTATGATGAGGAATCTTTCTCTTTTAATTCTTAACAGGTTTTAAGAACAAAGTCATCCAATATTGAGGGAAACATAATTTCCAACATTCTTAGCAAAACGAGCGTATGTCAGTTGTAAGTAATTGTATTTTCTGGGCAAAGAATTCCATTTGTATCGTGCCAAAGACAAAAGAAGGCCACAGGTATTCCTCAAGACGACTGGCTCTTTGCCTTTTCAAATGAGACAGTCAATAAGAAACTAGTCAGAAAACCAAGGAGAGTTGACTGAGTGGGGACACACACTGCAAGGTACATATGCACCAACTGCCTCATATCTCCCCCCTGTTTGGATGTGAACTCTGTATTCCAGGTCCCACACCACTTGCTGCCTAAGGAAATAATGTTATATCACGAGTGAGCACAGGAAGGCTAGGGAAGGGGAATGCCAGTTGCACAGCTTTTACAGTATTCCTTGTCAGACAACTCTCAGGGCAAAATACCTGTTGTCTCTTGCTTTCTTAGCTGGGAGTATGGTGCCTTTACTGGGAGTTAGCTGTTGATAAGAGGGAAATAATGGTAAGAGAACAAATAATATAAAACTCTGGAGCAGGAGCAGCAGCGGGTAGGGGAACCCAACCTACTCTTGTATTCATCAAACAGGAAGATTTTTCCCCTCCCACTCACACAAGCTCCCCCTCCCCAAACAACTCTCCACAGCAGCTATCTAATTAGCAATGCTGGCACTGGTGTGGGAGGATGAGCCTGCCTCTGAGTTCAGCTCTGCCCCATGGCAGAGGCATGCTTTATTACTAATGCACCAGTTTGCTGCTGATCATGGAATAGAAATAAAGATTTAATCAGGGTACATATGTATGTTTTTGTTAATCTAATTTTCCCTGCAACTAGGGCAGAGTAGGAAAAAACAAAGACGGTTTCATGGAAGAAAGAGCTTTTCATTACAGCTATCGTGTTTAGCAAAAACAAAAACATCTGTGAAAGCCCACTCTTGCAGGTCTACACAAAGAGCCTCACACCTAAGTACCAAAAATAATGAACAAAAGAGATATTCAGTAAAACTGCTAACATGTAATACAGTAATGCAACTAGGAAACGGTAATAATTGCATATTTATTCTCACAGAATAAAAACATTAGTGTACCAAAACCATAAATAATATTTTAGCAATCACAATCAAGCAGGATCAGAGCCCCAAAAATCCTGCACTCTAACAGAAGCACGTATTTACAAATATACCCTTAAACCAAATATTTAACATGCACATGAGAGATGTCACCAAACAAGCTTGATTCTGGTTTTCTTTAGTTCTTGAATTTCTACTTGCTGACAAAAAAACTGGTGCCCCAGGCCACAATTCCTGTTCTTTCCCTCCATTTCCATTCACACCCATCCACTTAAGCTCCTGCTCTTTTCTTCCTATTGCAACCATCTTGCTTGCTCGGGCCCTCCCATCCCTTTGGCCCTGTTCAGTCTCAGATCTGCTTGCCCTCACTTTGCCTCCTCTCTCTTCTCCCACGCATCAGTCCTCCCTCCTCTGCCTCTACTCCTCCAAAAGACCTTCTTTTCCCCCTACACCTCCCCCTTTCCAGCTCCCCCCCCTCCCTTCTTGCTCTCCCCAATTCCTGAGGCCCCTCCTGGGGTTCCTGCACCCAACCTCCCCCCCTCCGCACGCAGCCATGCCAGCTTTCCTTCAGGCTGCAATGGCGAGCGCTCTGAGAAGACAAGGGGAAAATCAGTCCTGGCACTGCACGCTGCTGCAACGGGAAAAGATTAAACACAGAGAGCAACCAACTCAGACCCAAAAGCCCTAGGATAAAGTGTATTCAGTTGAGTGGGCATCAAAAATACCCAAAGGGACAGGACATGCTGCGTGGAGACAGAATCTTCAGAGCCCTAGAGCAATATACACAAATGTATTTAGGCTTAGGGCTCCTATCTAAATGTCTGCTTCCCCACCCCCTAAATCTACAGCTCATCAGAAGACCAAACACCTTTGTGAATCTTGAACTCAGCCATTAGGTTCTGACAAGTCTGCCTGCTGTGCAAGCTAGCTTAGATTTTCAGAGGCTCACAAATTGACTAAAAATGGAGAACTTGACATACCTAAATGTAGACTTGGATGGATGCCCTGACAAATTTCAAGTCTCTGCTTGAAAACAGACTAGAGCTTCAAAAGCAAAACAGGTAGGCATTTATTTCCAGATAGGCAAAACATCTTTACTCCTTAAACTCCTTCTCAGAAATGGACAAACTCACTTGAAACACTCCCACAGTGCAGCTTGAAGCAGACGCTTGGCTTGAAGAAGTTCACCCCAAATGCTTGTAATTCAAAAAGTTGTATACAATTTAAAATGAGGTCTCTATAACAGAAAGCACCAGATTATGCTACATTCCTGGAAGTGTTCACGGCCAGGCTGGATGGGGCTTTGAGCAACCTGGTCTACTGGGAGGCGTCCCTGCCCATGGCAGGTGGGTTGGAACTCTATGATCTTTAAGGTCCCTTCCAACCTAAACCATTCTATGAAACTATGATTACACTACCTTCATTCAAAATTAGCACATACACATCCAGCTTTTCAATTTCTTTCTTCACATTCTTGCCGTTACAGCTACTGTAAACATCACCTTGAAAATTTAGCCATAATTTTACATCAGCACTATTTTGTTCTGCCGGGGGAGCACAGGCCAGCCTACTAGGTTTTTAAACAGATTCCGTGACCAGCTTTGCAAGAAGACACAGACTGTGATTTGTATAAAAGATTCTCTGCATTCCTCCTCCATGTTTCTTCAAAATATTTGAAAAGGGTTATTTAGAAGACTGTTTCACTAGATGAAGCTAGTAAAGATGTTTGCAAATGTCACAAGCCACTTGAAACAGAAAGGAATTAAACAAGGTTATGTTTCCTTCTTGTCCAGTGTTCCTGTGACCACTTATTTTGAGGATCCTTGGCTCCCTGCTGATGTTAGTATGATTTGATGGTGCTCAAAACAGTGCACAATTGGTGTTCGCATTTCAAAACTGAACTTGATTATTTTGCCTGTCTTCTCTTCTGAGGGACAAACTTCAGAGAAAAGATGTGAAAACAATTTAAGAAATTATCTGTGTATGTCAGATACTGACCTTTATCATCCAGAACTCCACAGAGCAAGAATTCCACACCAAAAATTACTGGAATTGTGAGGTTTTTGACCAACATTTAACAAGGCTTCCTTGATGGAAAAAGCATGTTACGCTAACCCAAAATTTCCACTGATGTTTATTAGCCCAGGACTACTACTACTACTACTATTATTATTATCGTTATCATTATTATTATTAACAGTTATTTCCTCTGACTATGAGTTTAACCTGCTGTGCAAGACAAAGCTGAACTGCCACACAGCTTTTTCCCAGCGGGCTCTGCCAGACATTCTCAAGAACAATATCGGAATATTTTTAAAGCTGCTACAACCTGGTCTATATTCCTCTCCTTCAACAATGTCAGCATAAATCTCAAAAATCATGATTCAACCTCTGAAACAAATTGATGGCTTTACCAAAACAGAAAAGATACTTAAAAATGGGTCCTATAGATCAATACATCCACTAGAATGGGTCACCTGAACCTATTCATAACTCTCTGTTGTGAGCGATGTCACAAGCTTAAGTAGCCTAAGACCAAACAAAAATCACTAAGAGTCACATCATTGTCTTTCTGGGGTAGTCTCTGTTTCAACAATACAGGATATTTCAGCAACCTCTACAGTTATGTCAAGGTTATGAAGATTCTGTGAAAGTAGTGCAAAGAAAAAAAAATATATGAATAAAACATTTTCAGTAACATGGAATTCTATTTACTCAAACTTTCCTTAGTCAAACTTTTTAAAAATAGGTTATAAAATCTGCTAATTATAGAGTACTGAACCTCATTCAGTCAATCACAGCACCGGATCCACTCAGAATAAACACTACCACTACTGATAAAGGTACAATATTATTCTTAATACCATTTAGCTCCTTATATGAGCAAGGGCATAATTAAGATGCTTGATGCTGATCTATGCAGAATACTCATGTTTAAAGGAGCCACTGTCAATATTTCACATTGCTGGATGAAGCGTAACAAACACTAATGAAGAGCTTTGTCATGGTCTCCTGAAGAAGAAGTCTAATAGCCTGGGAATCCTGACACTGAACACATTAGTCGTAGTAGTTCAAATCTTGTTTCCCAGTCCTTCACCTGCAACTACCCATTTTGATTCTAGTTGAAGAAATGAATCTATTTTTTCTTCTATAAAATATATCACTCTACTCTCAGGAGTCTGTTACATGAATCCAGTCTCTCCCTACACTCAGGAGTATCTACCCAGAGAAGGCAAAGCAAAGCAGACAACATGAAGTAACATACTTTTACAATGCTTCAAGGACACAGTACATTAAAATTACATATTCTCATTTGTTCAACACAATAACTTTACATCCAACTGTTAGCGTTTTCACATTCTGTAATATAGTTATATATGCTTCTGTGATGCACATAATCCCCTTCTCTCTAGGAAGTTCCAGGAAACACACTTGTTGATTCACAGCAAAGCAGAACATTATTAGATAAAACTAGTATCCGTAAGTGTGTGAATGTGCAACAAAGAGCAAGTAAAGTGGATCCCATAAGAGCATCTTACTTATTTTCGCATCTGTATTTTTGCTGAGATTATTCAAAATGCATCCCAGTTACAAGAGATCTCACAAGACAGCTATTACACTTGTGCAGAGATGCCATTTGAATTAGGTAATAAAACCTACTGAGTAGTAAGGTTTTAATTCTCAGTATTTGGTATTGCACAAAGACTTTAAAATAGCTTTTTATGATATTTGAAT